AATAATAATAATAATAATAATAATAATAATAATAATAATAATAATAATAATAATAATAATAATAATAATAATATAATTATAAAGAAAATGAAAGTGGCGATATGGAAGTTCTTGATAACAACAACACTGGTACTGAAGACAGCAACGATGGTAGTGGTAAGAAAAAACGTGGCAGAAAACCAAAAAATCCTAGCTCAGAAAACGATAATAAATCAGACGAATCTATTAATGCCGACGTAAATATTAACGACTCTGAAAACTTGATTTCAAAAGAACAAATTACAATCTCTACGATTAACACCACTACTACAGCAACAACAAATGTTAGAGGAAGAAAGAAGAAGATAGTGGATGATAGTAATGACGGTGATAAATCCGATGAAATTAATAAAGATGCCACAAAACCAGTTGTCAAAGAAGCAGAAGAACAAGACAAATCATCTGATACAACCATTACCAAAGTCAAGTCTACTAAGGGAAGAAAGAAAAAGGTAATTGACGACGATAAAGTTGGTAAATCCGATGAAAATAATAAAGATACCACAAAACTAGTCGATAAAGAAGTGGAAGTACAAGATAAATCGTCTGATGCAACAACTATTACTAAAGCTAAACCTACTAGAGGAAGAAAGAAAAAGGTGGTTGACGGTGATAATGACGGCGATAAATCCGATGAAAACAATAAAGATAGCACAAAACTAGTTGATAAAGAGGTGGAAGTACAAGATAAATCATCTGATGCAACAACTATTACTAAAGCTAAACCTACTAGAGGAAGAAAGAAAAAGACATCTGATGAAATTAATAAAAATGTAGAAATAGAATTATCATCATCGACTACCAATAATATCACTACTGTGCCTACCAGGGGAAGAAAGAAAAAATTAACTTATGATGGTGATGAATCTGATATACCTGATGAATCGAATACAAAAAATGCGACAATTGACGAGACAGGAACAAATATTCAAAAAAAACCAATCGATGCTACCACTTCTAGTCCTAACACTAAATCTGCTAAAGGAGAAAAGAAGACAATTAATGATGATATTGGTAAAGCCGATGAAAACAATAAAGATAACTTTAAAATTTTTGAAGTAGAAGTTGAAATGGAATCTTCCGCTAAGACTACCGAAAAAGTTAAATCTACGAAGGGAAGAAAGAAGAAAGTAGTTAATAACGATGGCGATAAATCTGTTGATGTCAATAATACAAACGAATCGAAAGTTCCTGGTTCAGAAATAGAAACACAAAATGAATCATCAGATACTGCAAATGTTGCTATTAAAACCAAAGCCACTAGGGGAAGAAAGAAAAAAGTAGTTGATGAAGGTGACAAGGCAGATAAAATTGATATTAATGAATTGAACGGAGCTAATACAGAAGTAAAAGCACAAAACAAGCCATCAGATATTGATTCTGTCGCTAGCATCAATACTTCAACTAAAGTTAAATCAACTAGGGGAAGAAAAAAGAAAGTTGTAGATGATATTGGTGATAACAATGACAGTGATAAGGCTGTTCAAGTAAATACAAGCGAATCTAACGCAGCTACTGACGTAAACATGGAAGTACAAATTGAATCATCGAATGCAACTACTAATAACAATAATACTGACGATACTGTTAAAACCACCAAAAGAAAAGGATCTAGTGATGATGATGAAGAGAAATCTCAAGAATCCGTAGCTACTAAATCCAAAAGAGGAAGGAAAAAGGCCAAAGTTGATACTGATGAGCCTAAAGATGAATCTAGTAAGTCCGACCTAAATATAGAAGCAAATCCTCAAAAAGAGAATAACAATAATAAAACTGCTAGTAGTGGTAACACCGTCACATCTTCTAATAAAGGAAGAAAAAGAAAATTAGCTGATGTTGATGAGGAGAAAGAGAAGAAGACAAGTGAACCAAGCAACCGACGTGGCAGAAAGATTACAGAGAAACAAATTACAGTATTAGAATCATCTGATGTTACATCGATCACTACTAATTAACTACTTTACCTCTAATTTTTTATATATATCTTTATATATTTTATTATACATAGAAATATCTTTTCATATAAATATCTTTATATTATATATATATATTTACATAGAAATATCTTTCACATTCTCTTGCTTATATGTTTAATCTATAATCTTCACGTATATCTTTTATATTTACATATATTAATTATATTAGTAAAAATTTAATTATTTTATTAATAAAATTGTTCATTCATCTGTAAGTCGATCTCTATACCATATAAAAAACTATAAATGATAAAATTAATTTTATGCGCGTATAAATTTTTGGAAATATCAAACGCATGATCACAGATAACGAAATCAAAAAAAATGGGCCAAGTTCGTTATAAAATCTAATGTAACACGCTGTATACCTCTAATGAAAATCAGGTGCTTCATCGTAGATGCTAGCTAAGAGTGGTATAGATGGTCTGTAATTCACGCTTTCAAAATGGCATTGATCTCGTGAATGAATATGTTGGTTGTCAAATCAAAAGCTGTCGATGAGTCCCGTTTTCTCCTCGTAAAAAATAAATATGCATATTTAAAGATCAAGGTAAAACGAGCATATCCCAAAACTGAAGATTAGCAAGTCATAAACCGGCTGTAACGGCTGCTAAAATTGTAGTCGTGATCAATAGCCATGAGTTGTTTCAGCAAACGACGTATATAGCATTATCTCTCTCTCTCTCTGTTTCTGAGCCATGCACTTTTATCAAATCAACTTGTTTATTGAATGCTCGCGTTACTACTATATCCTTATTCATAGGAAGTCCAGGATCTCTCCAGGTAAGAATCTCATTCTTTACAACGTGTACCAAGAAACTAACTGATCCAGGCATGTCAATGAGATTTTGATAGTGGTTATTGCAACTAATTCTTTATAAATAAATTAATAAATTAAGGTTGTAAATACTATAAAGATTTAATAAATCTTATGAATAAATTTGGGGGGACCTGTATCCTATAAATAAAACTTTTTTAGAACCAGATATTTTGTCATAAAATACTAGCATTTCAAGCCAATGCTGTAACAATCTCAAGTAAAAGATCCAAATTTGTTATATTGAAACAAGATAGTTATGATAATGGATAATCAGATTACAAATTTCACTTGTTAATACATCACGACCATTAAATCCCAAAACCTCAAGAAGTTTACAAACACCAATACCATAGAATGGCGATTAAACCTCAAATCTCACATAACGTAGTTTAAAGCTCATCAACGAATTGATCTGATTTTTTAAAACGACAATTACTTTGCCACTAGTGACGCTTCCATAATAATCACCATGTAATTCTAAATCTTGTAATTTGATAAAATCAATTATTCCTTTCACTTCAGCATCAAACTTTTTCAATATTTCGATATCATCTTTTATTGTCCCATTCATAATGAATATATACTCTTAATTGCCATATGTTATCAGCAAAACGTTAGATGTTGAGTATGTGGTAGACAGCAGGAAAAAGCACCATGCCAAACTTCTCTAGAAACCAAGTTGCATCACGTGAAAATTGATTTAGAACTGGACGACGGCTTATAAACAATTTTAATAAATGTTCAGATAATATTCAACAACCATTGACACCAATACGCTCACCTCTTCGAAGATTAAGCCACCACCAATGTGAAGAACACGTAAATATTTTCCGTAATCGAATGTTGGTCGTGATGAGGTTGAAGAAGGAAGGGAGGTTTAAACAGTTATCATTTAGAATTTGTTTTTCTTCATCCCTCAAACAAGCAATATACACTTCAATTGTTTAACATGTAAAGCATTAGGACTTTTCCAATATATGCAGCTTAATACTAATGTCAATTTATCAGGATGCAATATATTTTCATAATTTCAATCCACTCAAAAGTTCCTCCGAGATAAAGATTTGGTAGGATGATGCAAAAATTATGTCACACGACTTCAAAATTTTAATTTGAAAATTTCAAAAATGAATCAATTACAACAAAATGGTACGATCTTTTGTTATAAATGAAACTTTTATATAAATTTTTTTAAAATAACAAAATCTACTATACGAATTATAAAACATCTACATCAGAACAACAATCATTACCAACATCAACAGCAACAGATACTAGTAGTATAGGAGTACTTAGCGCACAAAGGATTCAAGATCTTGAAAAAATTGAAAAAGTATTTAATAAATAAATGAAATTATTTTTGGTTTGAAAGTAATATAACTATACATATTTTCTAGATGATTGTGGAGTTATTAAATGTAGCAGCTCAGGCCATTATGTGTTTAGCATCAGACGGACATGTTAACAAAGATGCTATTGAAGAGTCTAAACATAGAAAGCTTAGTGAAAAAGAACAAATTCAAATGTTTGATGACTTGACAAAAAATTTTGGAGAATTGATAGATGTGAGTTAATTATTCACTGGTATTATCAAAGTTAGTCAGACAATTGATTAATATTAATGATGATTTATTTTTTAAAAAAAGAAAATACAAATTGGCTTACGTGTGCAATTTCGTCATATGCGTAATATGGGGATTACAGCTGGAGATATACCTTTTCGTACTGTTACCTATGGTGAAGAAAAAGAATATGAAACTTGGTTGAATGCAGCAAAAATTTTAAGAAAAGAACTTGAAAATTTGGTGGATATTGGAGTTGCAGCAGGAGATTTATCAGATATAAAAAATGAAGTAATGGATATTGATGAGCAACAGGAACATCATGATAATATCTAAAAAACATTAAGAAATAAACTTTGATTAATAGTAATAAAATTATAAATATTCATAAATATTCACCCATCCATACTGATGTATCATATTTGTTCACTCATTATTTTATCTATAATGTTTTCTTCTTTTTACTATTATATATTTATATCAATTAGGATAAAAAAAGTTTTTTTATGATAATCTATAAAAACTTATAGTTGTTCTTAGCATTTACTGACGTAATTTCAGTTTGTTTCTTTATCAGCATTTCAAATTCGTCCCATGCCTTTTCCAACACATCAAGCTCTTTCATCCAAAGATCTTGAGCACTCATCCCTTCAATCTTTTTCAATTCATCAACTAAATCTGTTCTTTCATTTCAATATCTTCTGTACTGATACTCAAATGTCCATTTTTCATAAGGTAATCATAACCCTAGATATCTTCATTGGATTGTAGTAACACTTGTGACTCATCATTCATGAGTTTTACTATTAATTTCTTTAAACCTTCAAGTTGTATTTGGCCATCAATTATCTATGAATAAATTTTATTTTGTTTTCAATCTTGCTAATTTGTTGTTTTGATTTTTAATTGAATGAATCTAATAAATATATACATTATATATTATATATTGGAAATTAGTTGATGGATAAAATATTATTTAAATTCAGACAAGCATATATTAGTAACAACTTACTATTCTTTCTTGTTAGAATTATAACATAACATATTTGATGTCAACAGTTTAGTTAAATGAAATGCCTTCTCTGGTCCAACACTTTTGGCATTTTCCATCTGTTCAATATTTAATTCAATTTCAAGACAAACACTTTTTTCATTTATAGAATTATCAGATCAGATCCTATTAAATTGCAATCTGTTTTGAACCAGATCAGATCAGATTTGTAGATAATTAGTATATAAATTTTATTTATTCAAAAATATTTTCTTTCTATTATCATTGCCTGCTTCAACTGTTAGTTCACCTTTCTCAAAAATCCAAATCATTATTAGTGTTTATCATTATAATGCCTTTAATTCATAAAATAATTCATAAAGTAATTCATAAACGATTTATTATAAATTTTATTATCATTTATACTGTCACCAATTATTACTTGGGAGAGCGTGTTAATTGATGATAACAAATATAAATTTATGATTATGTGGATCAGAATAAATTGGCTATTACTAACGAATTAGCGAATAATTTTGGTTTAATGGTCAAGAAAAACGTTTTATTTAGTCGAAACTAATTTATTAACTTATTTCTAAGTTAATTTATTAAACTTCATACAAGGTTATTAAATTATTAAAACTTTAATACAAAATTGTTTTACAAGCATGTTGAATTCGAACACTTGTATACAATTAAATTATTTCTAAAAGTTAACTAATTTCGACGTTATACGAATAAAAATGGTAAAGATGTAAAAAGAAATGAATAAAAATAAAATAAGGAATAAATAAATATAGATATAAAATAGAAATAAAGATTTGATTCGGAATTAGTGTATTTCGGCCAACAAATCAGCGCTAAATCCTAATTCCGGTAACAACTCAGATCAGATCCAATATTTTAAAAAACCAGATCAGATAAATAGATTTCAGATCAGATCAGATTTGGAAGAAATCTGATCGGAGCCTTTACTTAAAGCTTTCAATATGATTATTTTTGATTAAGACACTTGCCGTAAATGATTGGGCTGGTAGATACCATTGCCATAAATAGCTGTTGATAGCTATCATTTTCCGTAAATAGATGCAGTTGCCGTAAATAGATACGGCTGTCGCAAATAGCTACAGCTGCCGTAAACCACTACAAAATAGCTTTCAATTACTGAAATTTTTATTGAATTATTTGTGATCTGCGGTCACATGAACTTTTTATTGGCTATGTAGATCCTTTGATTCCTCCAAAAATAGAAAAAGCTAAGACTTCTCTACAAAGTTATAGGCTTGAATATTATAATAATAATATCTATTATTATTATCATTATCAGTCGCAGGAAATTGCAGATCTACAGGGGTCATATATGGAGCATATTGCAACAAAACCAGACAAAGTAAACATTGGCATTACCAAAATTTTCAGTGATCAAATGAAGAAATTATTAATCACTAAGCTATTCCACTCTAAGTGATAGGGAAATATCCTTGAGATGTAACAGCGCCTAGATTTAAAATGTAAATACAATCAAAGCTTGTTGTAGTAGACACTTGGTTCCGGGCATTTTTGTTCACTATAACCAATTTCCACTATAACAAACATAATTAATAGGGTATGTTCTATATCAAAAATTTTAAAAGTCCACTATACAAAATAAAGAGATTTTATTAAGAAATCCACTATAACAAACAAATATTATTATAAAGAGAATTGGGAAATAAAAAAAAGTCCACTATAGGCAAAATCCATTACAACAAGATCCACTACAACAAGCTTTGATTGTAGGTATAGTGCACGACACAACTTTCTGCGCCACGGCGACAGATTTGGGAAAAATTCTGCAAAATTTTTACAGTCACGTGTTTTATGAAGATTGTCAAAAATATATTTTAATTATATGTACTTTATATATATAATATATAGATCAAGATAATAGATAATTAATCTGTTTTTTAAAGTATGTAACAATCATATATATATTAATATGTCACGTTGCATCCTCTTTATTACTATCACGTGATAAAAGATCTGCAACACAAATTTCAAAATTTTCAATTCTTTCAATTCATTCATTTTTAATATAAAAAATTTGCGCGTAACACGTCACTTTGGGAGATTAGCATAGTAAATTTGTTGAACTTGTGCAACTTTAAGGCTTAATTACTCCATAACAACATGACATATCAACAAAATGAAAACGTCATTTTGTAGAGAAAAGTCTTACGTAATCAGAATCAATTTATATATTTCTAAAGATATGGGTATAACCTGGGTTTGAGTAAAATTGAAAATCTTGGGTATGGGTTCAATTATTACTCTAGATTATTAAAACTTGATCATTGTTATTGTTATTATA